CATAAAAGACTTTTGCTTTTTTTATGTTATTTGAACCCTACAGCCAGACAATATTTTGTTGAATAATTTTTTTGTTTCTCCAGTTCTAATAATGCTTATTAGTCAGCAGAGTGTACATTCATTTCAAAGACAGTATTTATGGTTTTACAATCAAATTTTTCAAGAGCTTTAGTTTAAAAGCATTATTGTCCATTAAGAAGTATGAAAGGTATCTATTATGTCACTGATGTTTCAATTAAGGAACCGTATAAATTATGTCTTTTTAATTACATGTACATAAAATGCTAATGGGAAAATAAAGAAACTGGTAAGCCAATTGGAATCATCGACATCAATTAACTAGTATGTACATCAATCAACATATGGACAAAATCAGTTTTTTAATGTTATAATATCTATTTTATTTTTATTTTCTTCCTTTTCAGGCTAAAATTTGCCAAAGCAAAGGTTAAACACAATTATTCTTCAATATGTTTTCAAATGGATAAATAAATGCGTGTTTTATCGAGAGGGTCAGAGTTTTGATTGATATCTGAAAATATTTCAGTATAAAGATTTGAACTCAACAGATATCTGAAATTCTTACATGTACCCATTTCGAAAAACAATCCGATTTAAACTCTGATCTTAGAAAAATGACTATTATAAATTTATACTCTTGTGGGAGCTAATCGGTCAGATGAACATCTGTGATAAATGTTGAAGGGGGAAGTATTTTAAGTCTGTAAAAGGAAGACGGCAATTAACGTTGGGGTCAAAAACTGTAATCATAGTCACACCACTAAAAGAATTGAGCATGTTATACAGCGTTCTGAATAAACAACAATGCCCTTCTATCCGGTGTAAAGACGAATAATGACCCCCATCGAATAATGACCGGGGGTCATTTTTCAACGACAAAAAATGACCCCCCATCCGTAGAAAAAAATCATTTTTTGTAGAAAATGGGTCCTAGGGGTCATTATTTTATATGTTAGTCCTATAAAAAATTGACCCCCATTGAAAAATGACCCCCTTGAAAGTGATACAAAATTTATAACAGGTGAAACGGAAAGTATGCTGTATATTATAATTGTTCTTCCTTCGAGTAATTCATGCATTTGTTCGAATAGATTTGATCTTTGTTCTTCTTAGCACGTAGGGATAATAAAGTTCCTTTCTCTCTGCCGAAATCTTGAAAAATCAGTTTTAAGCAATCAACAATCAATCAATTAATCATCATTTCTCTGATAAAGGAGCAAACCTAGAAAATCAAAGAGAGAGAGAGAGAGAGAGAGAGAGAGAGAGAGAGAGAGAGAGAGAGAGAGAGAAGAGAGAGAGAGAGAGAGAGAGAGAGAGAGAGAGAGAGAGAGAGAGAGAGAGAGAGAGAGAGAGAGAGAGAGAGAGAGAGAGAGAGAGAGAGAGAGAGAGGCATACCTTTTCCATAATTTTAAATGTATGAATAAACTTTATTAAGAGATAAAGTTTTTAATATTTTTCTCACAATATACACTGTTTGATATTTTTTTACAGCGAAACTAAGTTTTACATTTTCTGTAACCAGAAAAATACAAAAAGTAGTATGAAATAAATAAAAGAGTCACGTAGTCTTTCAATGCTAAAATTGTGTTTAAAAAGAGATTCTTTAATTGTCAAGTAAATAAAATTTCTTTTTAATATTCCTCCTTATAATATTTGCTTAAAGAATGATTTTCCACTTGTTTTTAGAATTCAAACCATGCAACAATCAGGTTTAAATACTAGTACTCTTTAATAGGAAAAATTTATTTTTCCTTTATTTCAACTCTTAGCTTGTATAAGTTTGGCAAATCCTATTTGACAATGAGAGAGGAGGAAATTTTTATACCCCCCCTCCCTAAAGAGAAGATTAAGTTAAATAAAAAAAAAAATAAAAATAAATGAAAAGCAAAAATAACAGCATCTATATAAATGTTGTATAGATGCCTTTATCTTATGAGGAAATATTTTGCTCGAGATCGGCGTACACAGTCGGGTTCGGTATACTCGTCCTTTTTTACATGCGTTACAAAGAGAATGGTAGCAGACATTTTTAGCTCTTAAAAAAATTTAAAAAATAATCACTGTCCTGATTTCTTTTCTTCAAAAAACCCATCCCTCCCTCCCCAATAATACAATGCTCAATTGATAGGCAAATAGGTACTGCTCTTGGTTTTGTTTGTTTGTTTGTTTCAGAACAACAGGCTATCCACTATTATGATATTGTCGTGGCATCTTTGATGGAAGAAATGGTCTAGAGCATCGCACACGGAGGCATTTGCGCCCATCCATTCAACTGATGTGTCAAGTTTGTGCATTTGACTGTGTATGATATTTTGAAGACATTGAACTGTGAACATTGGCTTGATATTTTATAATGTAAATACATTAACATTTTATTCATTTGTTCGCGGTCAACCCGGAACAAACAAATGATGCTTGAATTTGTGCTGCTCATTTTGTGCTTGTTGCAATATTTGAATTAATTCAAACTTTTTATAAGTAAAAAACTTTAATAAGCTTAAAGGTAAATGACTGTTTGCGGTAAACCCGAAACAGCCAAATTATTGATTTGCTTTGTATTGTGTTGTTGCTTGAATGTTGGGTCTGCCCTGCTTGGCGACCCTTTGCTGCTTATATATTATGCCACGACCAACAACGCCAAACAATAAATGTTTAAAAATATATTTATTGTTTTTATTTCATCTATATAGATAAAACTCTATACCTTTCAATAATACTGAAAGAGGCTCTAGATAAAATATTGAAATGAAGTTAAGCCTTCACACAAGTACTATCATATCATAATTTACTTCGCCATGATTAAAGCATACTTTAAATGTTGGTGGGGGTATACTTGAAAGAATTGTGGCAAAGTAACAGTTGAAAATTGGTAGAATAGTAGAATATCTTAAGCTTATCTTTAGTCCCACCTTATAGAAAAATAAAGGTAGGATAGTTTTTTTTTGTTGTTGCTTTTGTTGATAACCGACTTCCTCCTAAATAAGTAAGGGGGTGGGGAGAGTATAACACCTAAATTATGCTCTGTAAAGCTAATGGTCTAGTGTAAAATACACATTCTAATGCAAAAACAATACATGTAGACATAACTTTTTGATTTAAAGCACACAGTATTACATTTCTTAATTCTTGTTTTACTCCACTCTTTTACTCAGTTCTGAGTATATTTTTCAAAGAATTTAATATGAAAATCGGAACAAACATTTTCATTTTTTATTAAGGTCTTCTTTATACTGTATCATAATATGAAAAGTTAATTGAAGACCATTTCTTTTTATGTCCCCGTAATCGAAGATTCGTGGGTATATAGTTTTATCGTGTCCGTCTGTATGTCTAGCTGTTTATCTGGCAGTTTGTTTGTCCGCAAAAACTTTAACCTTATAAACCATAACTTTTCATTTATTGGAGCTATGACTTTCATATTTAATATGTGTATTTTTTGTGACAAGACCTTACTTTGTACTACCAAATTTGACCTTTTTACCCTTACCTTGGAGTTTGTCCCATTTTACACAAAAATGCCAAATTTTTACTTTGGCCATAACTTTTAAACGGTAGATACTAGCACTTTCATACTTCACATATGTATTTTTTTTTTGGCATGACCTTTCACTGGATACTAAAAACTTTTACATTTTGACCTTGATCTTGGAGATTTCCTTACGTATGAAAAAAACTTTAACCTTGGCCATAACTTTTGAACGGTAAGGGCTACGGTTTTTATACTTCACATATGTAATCCTTGTTACATTAAACCTTTCTTAAGAAACCATCAACTTTGACCCTTTGACCTCTGAGTTTGACCTACTTAATTGCATTCAAGAAAAGTTTAATCTTCGCTATGTTGCCATACAGGGGCATAGCTGTTTCAAAAACACATCTTTTTATATATAGGAGCAGTTGCAGATAAGAGATGGATACCCCAAAGTGAAACAGACGGACGGACGGACATCCCGATCACTATATACCCTCCCGCTTTTCAAGCGGAGGATAATAATATTTAATACTGCTGATTTTTTCTGTCAGTACGATGATTTCCACTATCGAAAAACAATGTTTATCTAACCCTTTAGGCTCGATAAATCTTTTACTCCTTTAGATTCTGAATCATCGCATTGACCTTAAAATATAGCTATAAGTGTATAATGTTATGAGATCAACATATCATCAATTTATTCCCAATTAGCTCAGGTGAGCATTTTGGCCAATATGCTTCTTTATCTAATTTTTTTTGCCCCCTAAAAATTTCAGCTTTAATCCACAGGGATTTTTTTACGGGGTCATTTTTCTTCACGTGGGTTCTGCGAATTTTCAGGGTGGTGACACTTTTTCTACGGGCAAAAGGGTCATTTTTCGAAGTAGAAAAATGACCCCCGGTCTATATTCGATGGGGGTCATTATTCGTCTCTACACCGGCGTTTATGAACAGAATCAGGCATGTTATTTACATTTTATAATGAATTTTTACGAGCATGGTAGACTTGCATAAGATATGATGGCAAAGGTATCAGATATTTACTGATTTTCAACAAGGAAGACAAATTTACTTTGTTAAAATTTTTAAACTGTGAGATGTATGCATTAAATTTTTTAGCTTTAAAGAAGGTCCTGGAAAAATTTACCAATCTAAAAGAAAAATGATTTCATGAAAGATAATTGTTCTATAGGCATTTTTAGATGAGTTTATAAAGTTCTTAGACCTGCACTTCTCATATAAAAATCAAGTAATAATGAAATATTGAAAAGAAATCTCTGGATACTATACACTATACACATACCACGTATTGACTGTTAACTTGTATGTTTTATCATATGTTTATCAGGTTAAAATAATGGACTGAAAAGAATAGATGAGTCTCTTCGCATATTTGCATGTACGAATTTGAGGAAGTTGATGATGTACTTTATAAAGAAACAAAGTTCAGATAATATTTTATGATTTATATTTAATATATTGTTTGTATTTCTAGAAACTCCAATATGACAGTCAAAATTATGTTAATGAAGATAAGAAAAGAGTAAGAAGCATTGTAAATGTTAAGAAAAAACTCAAAAGAAGGAAAATACCTTACTTCCATGTTGTAGGATTCCTTGAATGGAATGAAAAAGCTGCTTGTGGGAATAATGATTGCTTTATCTTTAATATGTAAGTCTTTTGATTTGTTATTTTTTATTAGTGATTTATATTACATCTTTTTTTTTTTTAGAATTTAACACAAAATATTGCTCAAAAGCAAAAAACAGTGATTAATTTTATTACCATTAGGAATAAATCAAGTATCATATTTACTTCATTCTAAATTGATAAAACTTCGATATTCATTTTGATTAGCAAATCAATTTTGCTTTCTATATAAATCTATATAAATTTCACCATGAAACGAATAACTGGTTCAGAATGAAACTATTCTTGTTATCCTTATTTGATTATTTTTTTTCTTCAGTTTCCACCTCCTCCTCTGTGGCTTTAGCGTCTCTTTGCTATAACCCGCTTGATTTTGGTATTTATGGCTCGAATAAGAAAGTGTAAGTTATGATTTCCTATTATCATGTATATTGTAATGTCTCATAAGGTAGTCCGTTATTCTAGGTTTTCAGAAAGTCATTTACATTTGAGCTTATTTATGTTTAAATACGAAAAAATAGCAAATTTCAAAAAGCAAGTGTAAGCATAAAAAAAGTTGCATAGCTTTAAACGCTTTTGTTGGTTTTGTGTTGACCTCGAATGTTATTGTCTTTGAAGTTATCTACTGAAATTTGACACATCCGTTAAAGGGGTGGGAACACATGTCTTCGTATGAATTACTTTGAAAGTCATTTTCTGTCTTCTTAAATATAAACATTTATAAGATCCTTAAATATATTCTAGGATTAAAAAATGCTGATGTGTACGGCTATAGAAAAGAATGTGTGTTTACTGAAATAAGGAATTCGTTTTACAACATTAATGAAGGCAAAGCTTTTAACATTTTTACAAGACCCCTTTAAAGTTTCCTTTTTTTATTATATTGAGATGCACGAATGAGTAGATCTGCAAAAATAAATTTCTCTTCAAGTGAGGTGAAAGAATCAGCGAGTGAATGCTTAATAAAAATCCGCAATGATTATATACGAGGGGTTATCAAAAAGTTCGTGGACTGGGGCTATAAAATTAGTACTATGTAGTCTGTGCTTTCAAAATTTATATGGAACAAAAAACAACAAAATATAAAGAAATGTTGAAATTTAAGCCTGATATGTTCATTATTTGCCAAATTATTTAAGAAATAAGGTATCATTTTTTGAGTTTTATTGAGATGTAAAACGGGTTGGTCACGTGATCAAATCCCATAAAGCCCGAAGTGCTTTATGGAAGATTGATCATGTGCCAACCCGTTTTACATCTCAATAAAACTCAAAAAATGATACCTTATTACTTATATTGACATTTGTGACTTATTCATACTTTAAATTTGCCTGATTGTTACTTTTAACGTGAGAAATGCGTTATTTTTCAAACCCAACGGCATGTATGTAATCCACTAATCGCGCGTCGACCCTTCATGACGTCACACAGAGATTACGTCTAACGTTTATCCAAACGCACATCTATGACCTCTTGACCCCGTACCTGTATTTATACAGTTATAAAAACGCTTGCTTTCAGTAGTGTTATATAAAGGAAAACATTTGCAAATGTTAATATTATAAAATGAAAACGACATTATATGATCACCCTGCGCTGTCGTCGTTTATATTCGTGACGTCCAATAACGTCATTATTTTTCTTAATGTCCGCTTCTTCTACCTCATTCACTTTTTGATGAGATTCCCTGGAGCTGAGTAAGGACTTAAACCCGCCTTGTTTATTTGACTTTACAATGCCATGAACAGTGGCCTTTAATGAATATAATATTCCAAATGGATTAATACATTGGGAGAGATCCGCACTTGATTGTGCCGTCATGTTTTGCTTTTGGGAGTTCAATATATACAATACATGATCAGCATCATTTTTTGACGTGATTGATTTTGCACACCTTAAAAATTTACTGCAAATCGACATTAATCGTGTATCCCTTTTCTCCCTGAATCTATTTTGACATTAAAAGACAAGTACTCTGGATGCATATAATTTTTAGCCAGTTTCAATATATTTTAGGTCTATACCAGTTTTTCAGGGCAAAACTTTATAGAATGTTGGGAACGGAAACCCCTCCCCCTTTTGACGTTATTTTTAAGGCCTCATTTGTTTGGACATTCCGTGTAAAATTTACAATAAAATTTCATAGAGCTTTCAGAATTAAATGAAAATTTCATATTTTATGGAACAATTGTGTCCCGACACATACCTGAATTAACGGGATTTTTGGATGTCAAATGATCATATCAAAAGAGTTTTTCTCATTTACACAAAGGTCACAAAAACGTCATTTTCGAGATTGCGCCGCCTGGACTTACCTTTGTTTATAAATACATTACCAATTTATTATAAAATAAAATTTATGATTTATGATTCATACTAAAGGACATTGGCAACGTTTCTGGTTTTAGTATAGAATTTTTCAAGAACTTTAGAACAGGTTTAGTTGTACAAAACATGTTTATTTCAGGCCCTTTTAACCCATCAAGCCAGCCTTCCTTTGTAGATTTTGTCAAAGCAATGTTTTTACAATTCTCAATCATAGTCAATGCATTTTCTATGTAAAATGTTGATAAAAAGAACCTATATTATTTTGAACCATAAGTTTTCTCTAACACTCCTTTATTTCATAAAGTTTATGCATAAAATACATTGTTGAATCCTCATTTTCGATGGCATGCATATAGTCTGGCTGTAAATGCAAATATAGAAACAAGACACAGAAATATCAGCACTGTTCTTTAATTTCGAGTAACTTCCCTTTACATCTAATTATTATTCATAATGATCAAGAGACTGGTTGTTTGATTCTATTCTATAATTCACTTTATTGGAAATGAATTGTCATAAAACATTTTGGCAAGGATTTATTATTAACTTTTCATAGTGCCCCGTCTGCATAAGCTATAAAATCGTTAGATCATCCGGTCTACCTAGCTATCAACACTTTCAGCATAATTATGTCACATCTTTGCACTTCCAAACATACAAATTCAATACAAGTACCTATTCTAAATGACGACCTGTTGACTGTCTGCCCCCTCAGCACAATGTAAACAAATCTATCCCTGCTTTTCTTTTATTTCTGTAGAGTTGAATATATCCGATAAAAAAAACACACGTGCTTTTGTTTACCTATCAATTCTGTGACATATGCTTTATTTGTTTTCACCGCCTAGAGAATTCCATACGGGAGATCACTCTCAATGACTGTTTTCATAAGTGAAAAAACCAAAGTATAAACCTTTTTTCTCCGGAAAGCTAATCCGAGATTCCTCTGACTGTAACCCCCGCTTTTATATTTGAAAGTGTTGTGAAAAAACACATAAAACAACAGAATGATGTTTTATTGATAAGGAAAGCAACTTTCAAAAACGACTTCTATGCTAATATGAGGTTAAAAAACAGTATTAACACCACACATGATATTTTCACGTGATAGTTTGTTTGTGTATTTGTGTATGACGTCATGCGCAAAGAAGTCGAATGGCGAGGAGGCAACCTTATTCAAGTGATACTTCATTTGTCGGTGATAGGGCCGTTTAAACGGCGAAAGCATCCTTGTAATGACAATTAACAAGTAGGAGAATAATTATTTTACTGATTTCTCGCGTCTCGGGAGTTAGCTCCGCGAAATAAAGGTGTAAAAGGTAGGCAGAGTTGCGGCACTAGCTGGTGTCTCTGAATTCCCAGTTTTCAATATGGCCTCCGCTCTGACTCTCCCCCGCACAAGTCAAAAGCGGGGGTTAGAGTCAGAGGAATCTCGGATTACCGGAAACCCTGCGTTGCCAATGACCTTAAGATAGAAAAGATGTTGCTAACTTGATATTTTAAAATTAATTGATATGCCTAAAGCGATTTTAATTTTATGACGCTAGTCCATGAACTTTTTGATAACCTCTCGTAAATATACTGTTATTTGAAAGTTAAAATGTGCAAATAAAAAAAAAACATCCCTTCAAGTTCAGTGACTTGTAAAATTAAAGAAAATAATAATAATAGAGTTGACATTTCTGTCGCAGGAGCGGATATTCTCAAAAATTGACAGCAGATATTGTGTGATTACATTAATATATATAGTAAATTTATCATTTTCCCACAGAGGTTTGGAAAATATAACCGAAAATATAAAACGGGCAGTCCAAAATACAAATTTGACAAGTGAGAACTGATACATTTTTTTTCATTATAATAACCATCATGTTTAATAACAATATTTGTTTTGGTTTACGAGGTGTTATCAATTAAATAATTTCTTCATCACATAATAATTATCATTACAATCAATTAGTAAAAATATTGTTGTAAAATATTAAGTTCACCATCGGGTTAAGTTAGAAATGTTTTTGATTTTTTTTCTTTCATAGAAATTGAAAATCCGATGATCAATGATTTCTTCTCAGATGATGATACTTTTGTTGAATTCAAAGTTGCAAGAAACGGACCACTGAAGATATGTGCTGTTTCGCTAAGTACTAGAAAATGTTTTGAAATACGATGTGACTGTCAGAATGCCCCCGGAGAGGGTAGTCTACGTACAATTAACATTAACCTACTATGTACAGCTAAAACGCATACTAGTTCACTACAAGATCGCCCATGTCATGAAAATAAGACGGTAGAAACGTCTAAAAATAAAACATCGAATCATAATCAGTCAGAAGGGACATCTTCAATGGCTGGAAAAAGTTTCATAGATCAATACACAGGTACCAATTCAATTAAATTCAATTTAATGCAAAGTGGAAAAAAGTAAGAATAAATAAGTTTATTTTTGCTGGGAATTGTTAAGTGCGGGTTAACGTGAGAATTATTCTCATTATTATTAGCTCACCTGAGCCGAAGGCTCAAGTGAGCTTTTCTGATCACATTTTGTCCGGCGTCCGTCTGTCCGTCTAGCTGTCCGTCTGTCCGTCTGTCTGTAAACTTTTCACATTTTCGACTTCTTCTCAAGAACCGCTGGGCCAATTTCAACCAAACTTGCCACAAAGTATCCTTGGGTAAAGGGAATTCAAGTTTGTTCAAATGAAGGGCCACGCCCTTATTCAAGGGGAGATAATTGGGAATTAATGAAAATTTAGTGGTATATTTTAAAAATCTTCTTCTCAAGAACCACTGTGCCAGGAAAGATGAAACTTATGGGGATACATCCTCAGGTAGTGTAGATTCAAGTTTGTTCAAATCATGACCCCCGGGGGTAGGGCGGGGCCAAAATGGCCGACCAAATTTTACGTAGAAATATATAGGAAAATTCTTTAGAAATCTTCTTCTCAAGAATGACAAAGCCATAATTCATCATATTTATATGGGAGCATGCTCATTTAGTGTGGATTCAAGTTTGTTCAAATCATGACCCCCCGGGTAAGGGCGGGGCCAAAATGGCAGACCAAAGTTTTACATAGAAATATATAGGAAAATTCTTTAAAAATCTTCTTCTCAAGAAAGACAAAGCCATAATTCATCATATTTATATGGAAACATGCTCAGGTAGTGTAGATTCAAGTTTGTTCAAATCATGACCCCCAGGGGTAGGGCGGGGCCAAAATGGCCGACCAAAGTTTTACATAGAAATATATAGGAAAATTCTTTAAAAATCTTTTTCTCAAGAATGACAAAGCCATAATTTACATATTATATGGAAACATTCAAGTTTGTTCAAATCATGACCCCCGGGGGTAGGGCGGGGCCAAAATCATAGAAATATATAGGAAAATTCTTTAAAAATCTCCCTCTCAAGAATGACAAAGCCATTATTCATCATATTTATATGGAAGCATGTTCAGGTAGTGTAGATTCAAGTTTGTTCAAATCATGACCCCGGGGGTAGGGCGGGGCCAAAATGGCCAACCAAAGTTTTACATAGAAATATATAGGAAAATTCTTTAAAAATCTTCTTCTCAAGAATGACAAAGCCATAATTCATCATATTTATATGGAAGCATGCTCAGGTAGTATATAGTTCTTTAATTCAAGTTTGTTTCACAAAGGGTGGGGCCAAAATGGCCGACCAAGATTTTATATAGAAATATATAGGAAAATTCTTTAAAAATCTTCTTCTCAAGAATGACAAAGCCATAATTCATCATATTTATATGGAAGCATGCTCAGGTAGTGTAGATTCAAGTTTGTTCAAATCATGACCCCCGGGGGTAGGGCGGGGCCAAAATGGCCGAACAATGTTTTACATAAAAATATATAGGAAAATTCTTTAAAAATCTTCTTCTCAAGAATGACAAAGCCATAATTCATCATATTTATATGGAAGCATGCTCAGGTAGTGTAGATTCAAGTTTGTTCAAATCATGACCCCCGGGGGTAGGGCGGGGCCAAAATGGCCAGACCAAAGTTTTACATAGAAATATATAGGAAAATTCTTTAAAGATCTTCTTTTCAATCATTTTCTAAAAAATAGCAAATCCATGATTGGTCATGGGACTACTTTTGGATTTAAACTTTACAATAAAAAGCCATTATATACTAGTCTTACCCTTGGTGCTCAGGTGAGCGATGTGGCCCATGGGCCTCTTGTTATTATTTTGCTGTCATTTTGAAGATATGTGATAAGTCGTATGAAACCGAATTAGTTCCTGTTCTTTTTAAAATAAAGTGAAGACTGAATTAGATCATCTCACCAAACAAATTTCGACTTTTGATGTCAAATTTAAAAGAAATGTACATTTGAAGTTATGAGTTTGGGTCCCCGTGTCCAATGAATCTAAAAGTACACGTAGAATTTTTTTTTTTTTTTTTTTTTTTTTTTTTGCAAAATTAATCTTCCCGAATCTTATCTTCAAGTTGAGTGACAATTACATGCATGAAAAATGAAATACCTGACAAATGCAAACTGTTTAAGAAATCTAGACCTAAAATTTCACTTATTTGCTAAAATAAATCTCCCTTTGATGTATGCCAGAAATCTTCCAATCGTAAATCCTGGGATGTCTTCCAAACTCAAATCATAGTCTCGGATGTAAAACGACAAAGACGCCATCGTGATCATTTGAATGTTTCTAACCTAAGGGGTCGGCAGTTTTATTCATAAAGCACCGTAAACTACAATCAGTGAGATTCATGTGCGTAGTAAGCATCAGGAATGTAAGGGTATTTTGGCGATTACTGCTCTGGCGCTTGATTCCTTTCGAGATGTTATCGCTAGACTTAAGCGTCTAGGACGGCGATTGAGAGGGTGATCAGACCAAAAATCTGGCAAGAAACATCGACTAACATGAATTATACCGCGTTTTTTGCTCGTTTCTTAGATAAAGCGCAGGAGCAGAAATCATAAAAGAGCGTTGCATTCCTCAGGCTAGGTACATCCCATCATTTGGTTCTTTATATCCAAGATGGTAGACAATAGCCGTCAAAGTGTACATTTTACTGTCCAAAATGATCCTCTTGTTCTACCAAAATAAAAATGAAAACAAAGCGGATTAGCACAAGAGTTAGGGATTGTTAATTGATATACCTGGTTTCTAAAGGTAAGCGACATATAGACACCATACAGGTACGTTCATCTTTCATTTTCTTACCTTTTCTTGCTGCTAACAAGTATAACATAGTTGATTAGCATCAATTTGATTTTCAGAATCAATATTTAATCGTAATTGTTTTTATATTATTTTATGTTTTTTTTTTTCTATTTGCCCTTTATTGGACCTCTTTATACTTTTACCTTTATCGAACCTTTAGTATAGATTTGCAGGCATTGGACAGTTTCGGCCTATATATTGTATAGAGGGTATTTAAATCGCTGCATAGCTGACCAAGTAGCCCTGGTCCCAATCGCAACTTCTTGGGCCTTTCCGTCAGAGGTCGGAAAAACAACCTCTTCTCGGGCCTTTCCGTCAGAGGTCGGAAAAACAACGAGGTTGTTTTTCCGACCTCTGACGGAAAGGCCCGAGAAGTTGCGATTGGCCCTGGTCCACGTTTTCATCGTTTCTTCATGCTTGAGGTACAACGGTACAATATGTTTTGTCACTGTTTACGTATACAGATTTTGCTTGGTAGAGTTACTCATGCATGTATTGTTCTATTTATGTGCAATGTACTTTGTTCTATACGCACATAAGATATTTTGTTTTGCCACTAACACCTCTACAAATGTGTTTACGTATACAGATTTTGCTTGGTAGAGTTACTCATGCGTGTATTGTTCTATTTCTGTGCAATACACTAAGTTATATACGCACGTAAGATATTTTGTTTTGCCACCTAAACCCCTATTAATGTGTTCGGAACCTTTTTTTTCGGTGTTCTTCAAATTATAAAACAAAGATGAGTTCAGAGTAGCTCTGACAGTGGCTCTTACGAGAGTTAGTGAGACTTCATCGAGATGGGTAAATTATTCACGGAAATGTGGCTAGGAAGTGACTAGCACGTGGAGACATGGTAAACAGAAAAGTTATGTTGCGTTTCAGTTTTTACCAACCCATTGTATCTGTAGAAATGCACTTCATTCAAACTCTCTTACATTTATTCAAACTTAAGTAAGTATTCTCTATATTACAATTTTCTGCAGATATGAATTAAAATTTCTTTTTGGACTATGTTTCTTGGCACCAGATTAGCAAATGAGGCACCAGCATAATTTTAACTGACCAATCAGCTGAATGAAAATTGCATTATGGGTTACTACAGGAATTTCACGGTTAAAAAAAAGGAAATTCTTATGGTAAATGAAAAGCTTTTTTAAAATTCCATATTATTTTCATGCTCACAATGACAAACAATTCATTTGTTAAATAAACGGTGGAAGTCTAGGTTTCTCAAAGCCATGCTGCAAAAAGTTTTGCGTCTGTATTAATTCCTTTGTTCAATTGTTATACTATCGATGAATACAGTTGTAAGGTGGATTCTCGGGCCAAAACACGTGATCACGAGTATATAGTTATGTAAACAAATTTTTGTTCATTTAAGGTCAGACGACACGTTTCTCAAATATATGTTTTGTATCTCTTTATATAATATCAAAAATTATTCATATTTGTCATTCTCTTTGGATTTCAATGTTGTTTTCAAAATGTTTTTGAATATAAGTACACCAAAAATTGTGTTTTAGACCATTTAGAAGATTACCCATAAGGGTTATGTAAGAAATATGACCCTATGGTATCTTGGCCAAATGCCTGGTAAGGTACCCTAATTTTTGTGAGGAAACTTTTTTTAGTACCTTTGCTTCAATGACAAAATCTTAGGAAAAATTATATAATTTTGAGGAACGTGTCGTGTGACCTTAAATGCTTAAGCGGTGCTGCTCGTTTTCCTTACCCTTGAAGCGATGGTGCTCTAAACTAGTCAAAAACTACATTTTATTATATATTTATTTTCTACTTAACAACAAATCTTTCATAGTTTCTAATCTTGGTATTTTGTTCATAAGAACATTTTTTTTATTAATCACTCCATTCACATGATCATAGATTGACCTGAAACACGTGTTCGAAGTAGAATGTAAACATGTAAATGGCGTAAACATTGCTATTCATTCAACGATTGGTCAGTTGCTCGTGGAAAGATCCTCTGTGCGCATTTAAAATAATAGCCATGATATAAGACAAACAAAGGTTTGTCAGTGTAGATGATATTACACCTATTTTTTACCAGTGTATCAGTCGCTAGTGAACTATTATTTTCGTCTTAAAGTATCATAAGATATCACCCTTTAGCCACCTTTTTTCTGTTTAAAATCAGGAAATTTTTTGAGAAAGGTCTGAAAACACATTTTAACAGGATATACAGACTATAGCTATTTACTGTTTACTGCCAATTTTATTTATAAAACCGGTTCTACCCTATAACCTTTGAATAGGTCAACCTAAACCATGTGCCTTGAATTTCAATCACAAAAACAATAGTAGGGGCGGCTTATAAAGTCGGTGTTGTGGGTTTAACTGTTAAAACAACTTTTGTTAAGAAATTATGTACGTTTGTATGGCGTGTCATAAGTGCAGTTGTAGTCAATGTTGACTTGAGTTTTTTTAGTATACGTAACTTGCGACTTAAAATATTATTTAATTAAAAGATTCCAGCCATATTCCAGCTGTATTCCAGCCATTTTCTGTGGACACGTGGCACCAGCATAACCTGGACCGGAAATCCTCTTGGAGCCAGTTCGGGGGAGTCCGTCGTTAAACGGGGCATGTCAGGACGTGGTGGAGTGGTACACAAGGATGACATATAGAAAATCTAGAAACATAAAGTGATATTTATTGTAGATACATTTTTGTATAAATATGTTGTAAATGTTGTTCATATTGATTTTATTTATGGATAAAAATTTGTAAATAGAAAAAAAATCTTGTTTTTACTGACTGAACAGAGCACGACGGCTGTCGTGACACTGATTCTTGCACGTCATAAAAGCGCATAGTTGGAGACGAAAATAGACCAATGTAAAGGCCGTTATGTTTGATTATCCGAACAATGAAAGTTTTCTTTTTCTTCGGCGGAGCACTGCTTGAAATTTTTTTTAGAATAGGTGTTAATGTAGCCTATTTCAAAAGGTAATTATGTTATAATTTCTTTTGTTGAATAAAATATAGACTTTCACAAAGATTTTTTTTATGATACTTAAAATATTATGCGTAACAATAACATTATCATATGAAGCTTTATAAAATGATCTCCTTGTGTAAGCATTAAATGCTCTGTTTGTGCCAAAGAAAGGAGAGATTACGTTTGAAAAGTTATCATGTTGATCATAAAGCTTTGTTTTAGATATTAACCATTAGCGTCTCACGAGTAAATAACACGTACATTTATCCTTTAGTTCTGAAAACGTGCACGCATATAGACCAGAAATATCTTTAAGTTAATGATTTATTTGATTAAATTTGATTATTTAAGTAGGTTCAATTTAAAAGTGATAAAAAACGTAAAGAAATGTATTCAACGATTCTCTGTAAATTAGACTACATTTGTTGTTTATATCCCTTTAAACAGTTGGCAACTTCTTATTGTTTTTACGTTGAATTGCAACATCTTCTAACTCATTTCAGAAACTAATGCAGAAATATACGTCAGGGATTTCAAAACACTTCTTTTGAAGTCGGCGCAATGAAAATTCTATAAGCATTTTATTGACCTTATTGGCAAACGAAATATTTTGTTGGGTCATATTTTGGCTGATTTGTTACATACAAATTGTTAAGGTTTTGTTTTGAAAACTACATTTAGTTTAACTTCGGATATTCCATCCACATGATTGATACATACTGGGATGACGATAGATGTGACCTTTGGACAATCAATGCTTTCTCCTCCTCTCAATATAATATTGTTTTAACAAAGAACAAATTTTGAACGATTAAAATATTGTTACAAATAAAAAATACAAAAATGTTAAAAATGAGATGACAAACAGTATTCAAAATCAAGAGTCCACTAAAATAACACTTAATATAACAACAAACTCGAACCACATAAGAGATGGGTTTAGGTACCAGTGAGGAGTAAGCATCCCACACCTGACACGGTATATTTGTAATGACATGAAAATAAAGAAAAAAAATCCTTCGAAAAATCACTGTGTTAATGATGGCCTAACAATGAGTATGAAAAACGTCAGTCAGCATTTAAACTAAATGATAGATGTTTCTACTGACAAGGTCATTGTATCACTCAAAACAGATACGAAATAATGACTTTGAACGAGACTGTTCATTGTTTCATCAACTTAATTATCAATAACCTACCCTGTTTTAGAAAATAGTCATATGTAAAGAATGCGAAGCAATTGAGAGACATTAACCGTATACACGTGGCAATCATAACGGAATATTATTGCAGGGAATTTACATGTTATATCAAACATATCTTAAAGTGTATCAGCCCTGATAAGGAAAGTTAACGACTAAAAGTTCAAGCCAAAACGTTCATAAATGTATTAACACTGTGCTGGCTGTTAGATTACCATTGATGATTTTTATTATAGTGAAATGTCTTAATATGAAACAGGTGCGTCACACTAAAATAACTAGTGTTTTTATTTCAAGCTCAGTAGGATATGTTGTATCACCATATGAATGGAAATACTGTGGACGTCTTTAATTTCACGTGTCTAAAATTTCTCGGCTTGTAAGAAAGTTACCCTTTACGGTGATTTTAATTTCACGGAGAATCGTTTATTCAGGTGCTATGTAATGCCTTTTTTGGTAGAAAAATGAAATAATAATCACGATGGTTTAAATTTCGCGTAACATTCTTAAATTCTGAACATAGTGAAATCAAAAACACCGGAATTATGTGTTCCACTTCTACAGTTACTATTATTAATTGACAAAACGTCGCTGATACATCTAAATTACGAGCTATAGGCCACGTAATACATTAATAATGTACAAAAATATCCCAGTAAATATGTATGTTCAGCAAAAAAATACGAGGGTATCCTTAATTATACGCATGATAATGTTTTATGACCACCTACTTAAAAGAGTCTCATTTTGATTTTTAAGCCATATTTGTCTTCCCATGGTTATTATCAGGATTTCCATGTATTTTCGAAAAACAGTTATCATTTTTTTCTATAAAGGGGCTGGGGTTGTGGCCATTTTTAGACTATATTGATCTTCTTTGGAAAATTAGCTCCATATGAAGATATATACAAAAATGATCAAAATTTAAAACTAAAATGCATGAAATTTTTCTTTGCCAAATGATAGTTGACAGCTGTCATAAAAAAAAAAATACATCTGATGGTTAATTTGTTGACCCCTAAGCCTCCTGCAGCCCAATCATAGACATTATGATGTCAAAGCGATATGTTTAAGTTATTATTGACACTAGTATGGCAAGGCAAATAACAAATTTTTTTGTACCAGACACTGAGAGACATAAATTCTCAGTCAGCACTTCAATAATCATTGGAATGATAATTGCTCATTATACTGTACATGAACATGAATAGGCGTATTCAAAATTCAGCGGAATCAAGGGTATATAGTTGTTAGCGTAATCATGAATTAGCGCTACACATGTTCATGCTTTGTTTTGTATTAGTAAATGATTTGCTAGCGGTATTCATGAATTAACGCATTCGTGTCCACGTCAAAGCTGCTTTGATATAAAGCTCGCGTTTTTTAGTACACGTACAGTATATGAATGTCATAAGCCTGTCTTTTTCCTAAATATAAATACATGTGAATATTTGCTACGCTGAGGCTTGTTGCTTTTCATTGAGAAATCACTATAATACAAAACGATAACATAAAAAATTATTAGGGCATCATTTCCTTACCCTAAATTTGTGACATGAATTACAATTGTAATTTAATTTTGCGCTTTAAAGAATACAGAATTTACAATCAAACGAAGAGTATGTTGATAATCTATACCTTTATGACCATAATATATGTGTTTAGAATTAAAACATCCAAAAACGTTGTTAAAAAAAACTAAAAAAAAAATCCCAAATAAATTGATGGATCAGTCACACATAAAGATAAAAAATTTAAAGGAAACATTAGAGCAAACTTATAGCTAAATTGTAAAACAAACATGATGAATTTTTCTATCGTCGACTTTCCTTATTTAATTTTATATTTCCTGCAAGAGTTGTTTATTGATATTCAAGAATGTGCTCCGTTTTACGTCGGCATTTCCATAAATTTTATGTTCTTTATAATGTCCTTGTCAACAAATATAACTTATTGCTGGGTAGAACTGTTACTGACATGTTTCATACGACACTGTTAGACCTTTGTTCCTATATAACATTCAACTACAGAATGTTTCATCTAACTAAATATGTATGGAATGACATAACTTATAAATCGTCATCAAATTGTGAGGATGTTAATCGATAGAAAATAAAGTGATGAATATAAAAAAAATTATTTATTTAATTTTACAATTTGATGAAATCAATATTAAATGTAAAATTGATTTTTAAGGGTTTCCTTATATTAGCTGTACATGCTTGCATTAAAAAAAAATCCGGTTTTGATACCATATATCTGGCAAGATCCATTTCGTGTGTGTTGAATTTGTTTCTGGTATTTGATTGTGTTTTTTTTTGTGTTAACATTTTTTATGTACTGATGAAAATGGGAAATACTGGTATTGATTTATTTGTTTAATTTGATATAACATTAATTTTAAATCATAATAATGAGGAAAATCTAATGAATAACTTTTCTATTCAAATTCATATTTATTTTATTTTCAAGTAATTTAATTATAATATTACTTTTGTTAAATGTTGAAATTGAGTTCTTTCCCTTTGTATTGTAATATTTGTGTATGTTTATTTTATGTCTGTATATTTCAGAACCTAAATTTATGTGATAGTGTGTCCATTATCCAACATCCAAACTGTGTCCAATATATCTTTTATCGAAGTTGTGTCTACTTCAAAAACCGTAAATAAAATAAAGAGTTTAAGGATATGTATAACATAATTTATTTATCAATAAAAAGAGTGATCTAATTAGTTCTATTTTAAAATGGAAGGAAATAAATGTTGGACAAAAATATTCGAACATTCCTTTATAATAACTTGGGTATCGAAGCTTTACTGGTTTCAATTTCAAATTTTACACAGGAATATCACAACAAATAATCATCTTTTGAGACTGAAGCTAATTCATTCACCCACATGTACTTTTTGTACAGATGACATAGAAGCAATTGATCACTTATTTGTTGAATGTTCCAAGTAGAAGAATTATTATGGTGCATTGAAGTAAAAATTTTTGAATATTTTTTATATTCTTTTAGTTTTGACAGACTAGCTATACTTTTTAGTAAATATGAAATCATATTTGATTACTTGAATTTCACAATTTGACAACACTATTGTAAAACAATTCAGTTTTCCTAGTAAATATAAAAAAGTTCAAAAATTAAATATTGATATTGTTATGCAGAGGATCATAGACAGATTCGTTTTTACAGAAAATGTTTTGATGTTACAAAGCAGTAACTAGTTGAGATATGAAAGGCATTGGCAAAATAGCCGTGATGTACTTAAAAAAACAACTTATATTTATTATCATTATATTTATGATAACCTGTAATGGAATATTTAATGTTATTCCAAGGCTTCACTTTATTTGAGAGACTATCTATATATCTGCATTTTTTTAACTTCTGCCCTTTCAGTATTTTGTCTTCTCTTTTTCTTTATTAAAAATTAATTTTCACAGTTACATATGTGAAGGTTAAATTGCTGTTGTTGTAAGAGGCATAAAAGTATAATTTTTAGAAACCCATTTTGTATGTGAATATGTGTTTATATATAT